GAGCGGGGAGGAAACATTTAGGAACTAGAGGAAAGTTGTATTTTTCATCGTTGCTACATCGCACCCTGACTGGTGCATCTCCTCCCCAAGACCCCTCTGCAAGGGGATCTCCAGTGGCCTACTAGTGGGCTTTGTGTCTCCATTCCGCACTCCCCCCATCATTCACTATGGTTGTTTCAGTTTTTAATATTTTCTACTTTCTCGTTTAGGATTTTTATGTATTGTGTAGTTTTTGTTGTTGTTTTCTGTTTGTTTATATTTTGTCTGGTTTTCCAGTAGGAAGTCCAGGATAGGTAGCTCTTTAAGACAGTAACTGGACAGGAGCATGGCAGAGGAAGATGAGGAGAAACGGAGACCTAACAACAATGAATCTGAGAATTAAACGTTCTGAGATTGATTATGGTGATCATACAAATCTTAATATGCCTGAATGATTAAATTGTATCATGTGTGAAATATAGGCCAATAAAACGATTTTTTCAAAAGTGGGGGGTATTTTACAAAGATAGATAATAAAGGGCAATGGCCATGAGACTGGTCAGTGCTAAAAGGTCATTCACGGACACAGGGCTCATCAATGACCCTGTCACTTTTCAGTCAGAATATCCCTAGTAAATAGGAGAAAGGTAACATTTTAATTACTAGTTTTATATCACAGATTCTCTTGGTTTATTCATAAGTAGTTGAAAAAATATCTACTCAATATATTAAAAGCTCATTGGGATTTTAATGATGATAAGAGTTCAATATTTAATGAGTATTGATGTGTTAGTATTCTGTTATCCAAACCTATTAAGTACACAACCTATTGGTACTTAGATTTTTTTTTAAACAGCCCCCAGTCTTAAAAATCATCAACAACTTGTCTAGGGCCACCGGGTAGATTTGAATTCAAGCCTTTAAAATTTTTTCCCATATGCCATGCTGGTCTCATTTTCCATCAGCTGGTTAAAAATATAGCCAATGTACAAGTGAATATTCTTGGCAGTTGTCAACCCAGCAACATTCTAAAGGTCTCCAGAAACATTACTTTAACTGGGAGGGACACCTCTAAGCATTTGGTGTGTAGGGGCACATGAGGGAAAATTATCCCTCCTCAAAATGCCAGAATGACTCGTACAGAGATAAAGAGCTACAGCTTAAGCTAGGGGCTTTCAAAGTTTCTGATTTTTAATGAGAAGTGGCTCTAAGAATAGAGGTGGAAAGTGAGACCAGGAGACTTGCCTGGAGCTTTGTCAATATACAGCATTTTACAAAAGACTGAGTCCCCAAGCAGCACAAATGGCTAAGCACTGGACCACTAGCCCAAAGGTGAGTAGTTTGAAGCCACCCAGGGAAAACGCAGAAGACAGGCCTGGCACCCTGAAATCCCTATGGCGTAGTTCTTCTCTGCAGACATGCCGGGACTCAGAATTGACTCAACAGCAGCTTGCAACTGAAATGTCCAATAAGTGAGAAATAAACCTGGGCCAATATGCAGCTGAACAAAAGCTTCCAACAAACATAGCATACAGAGATATTTGCCACAGTGAGTTACAATGCTAGGAAATTTAGAAACAAAGAAAACTCCATGACAAAATGGCATACTTTAAAAATGATTATTTTCTATTTTCTACATGGAAAAAAACACATTCCTATACAAACTCTGGCTGTTCTATTTTTGTCTAGCCTATTTATTCCATATAAAATACCCTTCCTATTTTTCCTTATTATGCCAAGGTGAACTTAGCTCAAAATTCATCTCAAAACCCTAGCTCAAACCCCACGTTAATCCCAGTTGTTTTGTCTCTAACATTCATCTATTTGAGAACCTACGTGCTCAGCGCAGATCATGCAGCTAAGATCCTAGGGCCTGCTCACAGACTAGTAAGTGCTGCTTACAACCCCCAGGGATCCCCCAAAGTGCCCCAAGCACTGCTCAGGTGCTCTCTCAATGTTGCAAGTAATTTCCCAGAAGGCCAGGTCCATGTTCCTTTATCTCCAGTAGAAGATGGCCTTCCAAATGCCCTCAGCTTGTGGCTGCTCTAGTGAAAAAGCTGAAGAACCAGTGGTAAAACTGGAATTGCAGGAAGGTTGGAGACAATACTCCATCTACTCACCTCTCATATCCAAGGAGGGCATTATTCAAATCCTCATTTACTTTAATTAGCTCAACAGTTACATCTTCATTCTCCACTACTGCCAGTAGGTCCATGATCCTCTCCTGCATCTCTCGGCACGTCTTATAAAGCTCCTGCCACAGAGAGAAGAGAGTTTTCTTTTTTCATGCTATGAAAAGTCTACAAAAGATAAATGATGTCAATCTGCATGTACCTCCAATCAATCGTCCCCACTGAAGCACCTATAGGAGACTACCAAAGGATTTGATTTGGGACCACTGACCTCCTTTAGGAACCCTAGTGGTGTGGTGGTTATGCGCTGGGCTGCGATCCACATGGTTGGCATTTTAACACCACCAGTAGCTCCTCGGAAGGAAGCCTGGGGTTTCTACTTCTGTCAACAGGTACAGTCTCGGAAAAGCCCACAGTGGGTCGCTGTGAGTCAGCATTGACTCGATGGCAGTGAGTATGGAATTCGACTGAGTACTCTAAATTATTCTACTTAATGTAGTTAAAAAATCCCCTAACGCAGTTAGCCTAAGGTACTTTACTTAATGCAGTCTCTATGGAATTATTATACATTGGTCAAAGACAAATAGGTTGGGTGCAGATGTCACTTAGAAGGGTCAGATAATGCTGAGCATCTTCTTATTTACTGGACTGCCAGTGATGAACAGCTAGGCCCTGCTTTCTCGTTAGTCAATCACAACCACCAAGACTATCCTAAGACGTAAGGAATCTTATTTTTCTGTTTGCGTGTTCGTGGCCAATAGTCGTTTCTCATGGTTACCTTGAAACCAGTCATTGTAAAACACCTATACTTGGTGACCTAATGTATGAACTCCAAAGTAATAGGCACATATTCCCTGTGTAGTTTGATTTCAAACAGGTAATCATAATCACCAAGAAAGCCTGTGTTCTTGTTGGTCTCCTCACGGGTGTTCACCTTCTAAGACAAAGTTCGATTTCTTCCTCTAACTTGGAGTGAGCCTATCAGCTGCAGCACTGCAAGGTAAAATACCCGCATTCCACGTGACACGTCTCACCTTTTCTAACAGAAGGCTAGAAAATAGTATGCAGATCGAGTGACAAAGATTGTTTTCCTCAAAATTTAAAGTGGATGTCTTAAGATCAATAAGGTGAACTGGAAGGTACTTAAAGGGGCATATGGGAACTATCAATGTGTACAATGTTAGGAAATAAACTGCTTCCTTGCTAAAACTGTTTCCTCATTTGATGGATGAAAAGTTTACTTCTTGCCACATCGAATCAAATGATATGTGTGTAATGAAGAATTCAGTAATGATAAAGCACTGCATAAAACACAAAATGCCATCATCATTATTTGTGGTAGGGTAAGAGGCAGTTAAAATACATTTACAATAACATAATTTTATTTCATGTACTCTTTCACTTAGATATTTATAGTTGACAGTTACTATTTATAGTCACGGAGCTTTGATGGCTTACTGGGCTATGCACTGGACGGTTAACCTCAAGGAAGCAGTTAGAATCCATGAGCCACCCTGACGGAGGAGACGAGCGTTTCTCATCCTGTCGATGTTGACAGTCTTGGAAATCCACAGGAGCAGGTCTACTTGGTCATGTACTGTTGCTATTGGGTCAGAGGTGACTCAATAGCCGTGAAGTTCGTGTTCTTGTTTTTAAAATTAAATTACTTTGGCTCAAGGTAAACTGCACCAAGATTATAAAAAAAAAAGTCATGGGTGATAGTCAGATTTGGACTATCTAGATTCTAGGACCAATGCATTGCACCCTGACTATACCCCAAACTAGCTTTTTCTCATAAGCACCAGAAACAACTACATCAGATGTGCTGATTCAGGATCTCTGGGATTGGAATCGGAGAATCTACATTTTTAACAAGCAACCGGTGTTTCTTACACACACTGACGTTTAAAAAGTGGTATCTTACAACTCCGTTTCTTCAAGGCCAACCTCCCAATACACTTCAGAAGCATGAAACTGACATTAACCTTCTTCAATCCCACCTGGGCTAGAACTTGTCCACGTATGTAATGTGAAATTAACATCAGCCAACAAAACCGGCAAGAAGTCCGCCCTTTCAAAATGAAAGCAGCAGAGCTTGCTAAAAAAGTCTCACTAGGATATTAGCTGACTCTGCCTCAAGAAAGAAAACCCTGCTGAAAAATGTATGCTTTTTTCTAACAGAAGGCTAGAAAATAGTAGGAAACCGTTTAGAATCTCATGGAAACCGTTTAGAATCTCAAACAATCTTATTTCCAGACTCCTGACAGAAAATCTCTAAATAAATAAATCACACAATTAATAAGTGGCATTTAGACTGGGGTAAAAATTTCAGCCGCCACAGAATCAGAACAAAAATATTTAAGAGGCAAAATAGAATAAAAGGGAGAAAGTGAGACGGGCAGAAGAGAAGCTAGGTTGACATACTTGGCCAGGTGCAGTCAGACAGGATAGGCTGCATGCTAATGACCTGGCGATGACCAAGTACGGCCCAATGCCAGGGGAGACACACCTTTTCTTAAAGGTACAGGCACTAGACATTTGCAGCTTTGCAGGCATAGCATTTCTGATGCCCCCACACAAGACAGCAGTTAAATTATGCGAGCCCCTCAGACAATGAACAAAACAAATGGATGTGGTCATGTTCCAAAAAACCTTTCACAAAGCCAGGAGACAGGCTCGATTTCGCCCATGGGTGGTATTCCGTCAACTTCTAATAAAGTGCAAAAAGAACACTCTTCAGATGTAATAGGGCTCAGTTCATGTCCTACATTTACCCCTTTTTTTGTTTTTTCTTTCTAGCAAACACGGACAACAGTAGCTATCCTGTAGGGTTTCTATAAGAAGAGAAAACAGTAGCGCTGACACCTCACAGTGCTTGCTAGGCAGTGGGTAACTCACATGTGTATGGCTCCTGGAACAGCTATCAGGAAATGCTTAACTAACACAACCCTGCAATGCTCACGCTGTCCCTCGGGACCTAATCTTGCACAAAGGGAACACCTGAGAATGACATTCAAAAGCAGCCCCAGGGTGAATGGGCCCCTAATGTTCCCTTAGTTTTTGCTGTAGTGAGTATGCAGAAATTGTTCCCCTTGTTGCTCACCGACAGCTTTGCCAGAACAATGTCAAGATCAAGGAACTACAAGGGCTGTTAGATGCCTATGACAAAAAAGAAGAGAAGAAATTAATTTAAAATGAATTTGCAGCCAACTTCAATAGCCCCTGGTCCTGGGAAGGCATCCTTCTGCCCTTTAAAGGACAGATGTTATGGAACACATGAAAGGGGCATCGCATCGCTCAGCAGGTTTGTGAAGCGGGATAGCAAAAACCCCTTCAAAAGCAGCGCGCTCTGATCTTTGCAACTGTGTAGTCTCAGAGAAGAGCCAAGCCACCTGGGAACAGCACAGAGCAAGCATCGAAGACAAAAAGCGTGGGATTCCAGAAGTTCCCCACCGCAGGCACTCGCAGGGCTGATGGATGGTGGGGAGCTGGTGGGAGGGGGCGAGGGGCAATCAAAACATGAGTAACAGCTGCTGATGCATAAGTCCATCAGAGAGCCCCTGGAATCGCCCCCCTGCACACCACTTCAAAGCAAAGGCAAGTTTCTAAGAGTGCATTTCAACGTGGATTCTAAAGTCTGCCCCACAAAACAAAAGGGAGCTCATTAAGAGCTGCTTCTCCCTACCTCCAGATGGCTCCGACTTCTCCACAGAGCACCGAGGAGTTAAGGAAGGAGATGGAGTAATGCTTTCAACATCCACTAGTATCCTCAGAGGACAGCTCAACCAGAAAATAAAGGCAAGTACCTGCACATCTCCCTTGAAAAATTAAAACCAGGAAGAAGTATTGTTTGCTCGAAAGCCATCCCTGGGAATCATGTCTGCCAGGCCTCCTTATATTATCAGGCCTCCACATATTTCCTGTTTCCCACAGCTCCCCACCCACACTCTGAGACACCCAGAGAAAGTCTCTACACGCCGATGATAAAAAAACTACTGCCACTGATCACTTACCCTAAGACTGAACAATTCTCAGTCTGGTTGTCCTTAACCAAGCCTCCGCTGCCTGACAAATAAATGGTCGGCATAACCCTCACGAGGATCACAGTTGTTGGGTGCAGTTGAGTGGTTCCGACTCCTCGCAACCCTGGTACAATAGAACCACATACTGCCTGGTCCCGTGCGTCCTCATAGCTATTTTAATGCTTGAGGCCACTGTGGCAGCCACTGTCAGTCCATCTCATTGAGGGCTGTCCTGGTTTTCGCTGCCCCTGCACTTTACCACGCATGACGTCCTTCTCCTGATAACGTGTCAAAGTAAGTGAGATGTACTCTGTCTTGCCATCCATGGCTCTCAGGAGCAAGACTGGTTGTATTTCTTCTAAGACAGATCTGTGTTCTTTGGCAGTCTATGGTACTTTCAGTATTCGTTACCAACACCATAGATCAAGTGCATTTATTTTTCTCCAGTCTTCCTTACTCAATGCCTAACTTTCACTTGCATATGAGGCAATTAAAAATACCATGGTTTGGGCCAGGCACATCTTAGTCTTCAAAGTAACACCCTTGCTTTTCAACACTTTAAAGAGGGCTTGCACAGTCCTTTTGGCATAATGGTTAAAAGCTGGACTGTGCTCCACAAGGTCAGTAGTTCGAAACCAACAGCTGCCACAAAGGAGAAAGATGGAGCTTTCTATTCCCATAAACAATTACAATCTAGGAAACTCACAGGGGCAATTCTATCCTGTCCTAACAGGTTGCCATGAATTGACATCAACTCAATAACAGTGAGTTTGGGTTTATTTTTTTGTGCAGCAGATTTACTAATGCAACATGTCCTTTGATGTCTTGACTGCTTTTTCCATGACCGTTGAATGTGGATCCAAGCAAGACAAAATCCTTGACACCTTCGATCTTCCCTCTATTTGCCATGATCTTATGGAGATCACTAATTTAGTAAAATCACTCTTTTTCTCAACTGCACATGGTCTGCGCTTTATTTCTCTGGTGGCTTTGTCTTCCATTTATCCCTGATGCCTTCTTTCATCCTCAGTCAGTAAGTCTTCAAATAACATCAAGCTATTCAATTAAATAGACAATGAACTGTGTGCAGAGCATCTATG